GTTGTGCAAATTGAATATGTAACTTACAAGAGGAAGTCTTATGATTCATTCTGTGTCACTGAAGTGTGCTGCCAATGGTGACTTGTTTTTCTAAAAGAAATCTCTGGGGCAGCTCTTGTAAGTCAAAAACTCTTATTGGGGTCTGGCCTAGATCCTCAATCTTGCAAACAAGTGTATGGTGAAGGCTTAAATGAATGAAAATGAGGTATAATTTTAGGACTCCAGGAAGGTCAAAACCCTCCTTCAGAGTTCTTGAATCTGTAGCTGTGAGGAGGGCTAAGACAAAGAGCTTCACTGGACTGCCCATATTTATTAGGTCCAAACAAAGAGTGGGGATAATGAAGAAAGCAAGGGAAATGAGCAGGACCTTGGGAATCACTTCAAAGGCCTCTCCAAGTGGTAAATTATGCCAGTTTAGGAGACCTGTCTTATCTCTATGATGGCATTTATGGTAGGAGTGAGATGCCTGCAGTGCAGTCTCTATTTATTTAATTGGTGTTAGAGCCAAGGTGTCCTCAGCTGTGGCCTTATGTTACCTTTTGAGGTGTCTCTGGCCTCACAGGCCACTACAGGTCTCAGCCAGGACCAGTGATTCATAGAGCTTCACTTACTAAGAATCAGCTCCCATCAGCAGGCAAGGGGCCAGGACCTAGGACAGACTCACAGATAAACATAGAAAGCCAATTAATTAATTTTAAATCCTGCCCAAGAGCCACTTCATAGTGATCTCCAACAAACTCTGACCAGTGATCTACCATCTCACTTCTATATATAAGAGGGGACATGTGTGATCTCTGCTCTTCTCTTCACAGAGCTCCACAACCAGACATGAGTTAAGGGCATGAACTTTAATGTGACTGACAGTTTTAATCACATCCTCCAAAGCATTTTTACAGATTTTTTAGCTGTTCAGCAATTCTGTTTTCTTTTTGTTTTTGTTTTATCGGTACCGGGGATCGAATTCACGACCGCCTGCCTGCAAGGCAGGTGCTTATGCCGCTGAGCTAAATCCCCAGCCCCTGTTCAGCAATTCTGTAAGGATGACACTATACATAGACTCACATTCAGAAGTGACCTCTTTGGCTGGGGATTCAGCTCAGCAGCACAAGCACCTACCTGGCAAGCATGAGGTCAGGAGTTTGATCCCCAGTACCAAAAAAAAAAAGAAAAAGTGACCTTTTAAACTCAAGTAGTGACACAAGAACACCTGTCCAGCCATGACAGCTGGCACAAAATGACCAATTCCGTTTTCCTGATATATAATCAAAAGACCTAAATATTCCTGCAGCTCTGGTGTTCATTGGCAACAAAAGTGCATGCGGTATAACCTCACACACATCCTCCTGGAAAACGCATCTCACAGAAACAAGCATTGTTGCCTTGTCAGCATCACAGACTCATCAAGCTGGCTGTCATACCACTGTGACTCATTTTATCCTCTCAAAACTGTGGCTCAGTCTCCTCTGCTATTTCACCAGTTCACCTGGTTATGATGGTAGCTGGAAGAGGCACACAGGCCACCTCCACAACCACAGCCTCTCCTGAAGGTTCATCGTAGCTATCCTCAGTAGCCAGCAAGATCATAGTCAAGGGCTTCACAGCTTTAGCAGTGTGCTGAGTAACAAAGAACAACATGCTCAGTGCAGACACGTTTAATGCGGTGGTGGCCTTCCATGAGTACTTCAAAAAAGAACCCTTGTCTTTTAATGCAGGGTGCTTGGTCTCCATGTGTCAAAGCAGCTTTTAAAATACCTTTGGACTGGGGGTTTAGCTCAGCAGCGTAAGTGCCGGCCTTGCAAGTGTGTGGTCGTGAGTTCGATCCCTGGTACCAGTTTAAAAAAAAAAAAAAAAAAAACAGAAAAAGAAAAAAATTTCATAGCTTTGAGAGATAGCTGTGTACCACATATCACACAAAAGACTTGGAGAATGGGAACCGCCTGTTGCAGTGAACCTGTAATTTAAGCAGGGCTCTTGGCGATGTTTTGTTTTCTTTTTTGAGAGAGAGTCTTGCTATGTAATTCAGGCTGGCCTTGAGTTCATGGCTATCTTCCCACTTTAGCCTCCCAAGTGCCGGGCCTCTGCTACCATACCTGGTGTGGTACATTTTTTGAACACAGCTTTCTTTTTGTTGGCATCTTGGAGCCTTCTATTTTCTCCTCACTGGGTCTTTCCCCCCTCCTTCATGTTGTTTTGTTTTTATTTTGAGATCTTGGTAAGTAGTCCAGGCTTGTTCTTGAACTCACTCTGTAGCTCAGGCTGGCCTTAAACTCATGGCAGTCCTGCCTCAGCCTCCCAAGTGCTGTGATTACAGGCATACATCACGCTGGGCTTGCTGTTTTGTTTAGTTTGATGTAGTTCGGTTTGGTTTTTTGAGACAGGGTCTCACTATGTAGGCTAGCCTAGCCTTGAACTCAAGGTAGTCCTCCCTCTTCATCCTCCCAAGTGCTTAGGGTTACAGGACTGCACCACTACAACTGGCCCATGACATTTGTTTTTCACTCATTTTAGCTAGATTTAGCCTGTGGGCTTACCAAAACTGACTGAGATGACTGGACAGTTTGGGAAAGAGGCATGGACAGAAGTGGTAAATAAAATAATGAGCAGGCCATTTGGAAATGGAAAAAAGTGTCACATTCTGGTTGAAAGCCTGCTATTGGATTGTTATGGTGTGTGTCTGGATGTCCTCCCAAAGCCTCATGTGGGCATGGGAGGTATTGTAGTCAGGGGTTGTGAGGGGAACAATTAGAATCAGGACACAGGGAGCTGGGGATTTAGCTCATAAATTTGGCATAAGCGCCTTACTTGCAAGCAGGCAGTCATGAGTTCGATCCCTAGTACCGATAAAAATAAATTTTAAAAAAAGAATCAGGACACAGAATTTATAATACTATTTTATAATGGTCACCCAGAGTTAAACACAACAAAGTACAGGAAATCTGTCCATAACACTAAAGACACAGAATATTCAGCCAAGGGCCTGGATCCCACAGCAATGTCCTGCTTAAGTCCAGACGAAAACCTAAAGCCAAGACAGTGCCTCCCATGAATCCAATTGGAGGTCTAGAGTCCACAAGAAGGACTCACACCAGTCTGTTTTATGGATCTATGTTAGGAAAGCCCAATGGTCAGTGGTGGAAGCTAGAAAGTCTATGCCAGCGGAGTGAAGGAGCTGTGCTGGTAGGTTGAGGGTTCTACACTGGAGCCAAGAAGTCATGCTTAAAATAAGGACCAGGGCTGCTCTGAAAAGTGCCACAGCCTCTGTGTCAGTGACACAGAGGTCCCAAGCTCCTCGGACGATAAGAACAGTTGAGTACATGCCAGAAAGCCAGCGTGAGGAGTTTGTCCTGGAGGTTAAATAGCACACATCTTTCCCTCTGGAACCAGGAAGTGATGTTCAATGTAAGGACCAGAGCTTCCCCAAAGTAAACCACAGCCACTCTCACCAACAAAGTTCCCAGCTCCTCTGATGACAATGGTCGAACTCACACTGGGGAAGCTAGTCATGACAAGCTCTTCCAGGAGAACCAATGGCTCAAAACAGAAACAGAGAAACCCACGATGCCTCACTCATCTTCTCCATGTCTCTGTCTATGTTGGCAACTTTCCTTAGGTGGACCATCTACACTTAGCATCATACTGAATTCACTCATCTGGTGATAAGTGAACTATCAGTTTTTAATCCATAGCAGGAGGGCTGAGCTTTTTTGAGGTGGCTGAATCTAGAGTTTGTGACTAGTTCATTGTCGAGTGCTGGGATTGGGGTGTGAGTGCTACACCACCACCTCCGGGTGAGTAGTCTGCATACAATATAAGGGAGGGAAAGAGGCTTGCTCCTCCTGCCTCCTTTTGCTTTTGTTGCTTTTGCTGTCTTCCACGACCTTGAATGGTTGCCCCTCTGCCACGCCACCCTGCCTACAGCCAGCTGATTATGGACTGAAACCTCCACAAACCGTGAGCTAAATAAACCTTTAACATTGGATGCTGGGTGTTTTTTACCAGCTACAAGATAAAGGTGACTAAGACATGAATGAAGGCATATAATTGACTACATCGACTCACTGATCACTTTAAAGCCTGTCACTAGATGTGGCTTAATTGTCGTGCCACTCATTGATAGAGTTTTGATATCCATCTGCAAGCAACTGATTTATGCACTCAGAGCTCTCTGCTACTGTTCACCTGTATTTTCAGCCACTCCCCAGTCTCACCCTGGGTCCCTTGCATGCACAGTTCACAGTAGGGTTCCTGTTCCCATGAGAATCTAGTGGCACTGTTCATCTAACAGGAGTTGGAGCTGGGCTACAAATCCCGATGAAGCTTCCCTTGTTTGCCCCACCCACTTCCTGCTCTATAGCCTGGTTTATCTGAAGTCTGGAGCTAGGGACCCTTGCTGGTAGTGTTTCCGTCCATTTGAATGAGTTGATTGCATTCCATGGTGTCATTTAGCATGTTCTTCTGTCCTCGGTATTTTACTAACTTGGTGATGTGATCTGATTTCTGTTCACTTTTACAGCTGAATAAACTGCTGGTGCCCTTGGGTTTCCAGAGTCAAAATGTGATGTTGTGTTGATGCCTCTGTGCTGTTAGCAGCTGTCAGTGATCCTGGGCTGAGTAGCTTTGTTTTTCATTGGGAGGGATGGGCATTTTTTTGTGTCTTTTTTTTTTTTTTTTTTTTTAGAAGGGGTCTCGCTGTGCAGTTCAGGCTGGCCTTGAGCTTACTTTGTAGCCCAGGCTGGTCTCAAACTCGCAATGATCCTCCCACTTCAGTGGGATTATAGGTATGAGCCACCACACCCGGCTTGGGATGTGCGTTTTTTAAAGAGATCCATCCAGCGACAGATGTGTGGAGTGTGGGGCAAGGGCAGGGTTGTGGTGACTTAGTGGAATAATTGTGTAGCAGAGTGCTTGCCAGGTGTCCAGGACACAGGAACACGCTGTTGTTGTCACAAGAAGTGGGGGAGGGACACAAGTCCTGAGCTCACAGACATTCTCTGGCCCAGGCTGTCTCTTCCTCCTCCTTTGGCCCTGGAGAGGAAGTCAGCAGTGCCCAGGATCTGAGACGCATGTTCTGGAACACAGCAACCATTTGTGTGCCCCTGGTGTGGCTTCTCCAGGGAAGGAAGGCTGGCGTCCCACTCGTGCGGGGCTTGCACCAGACTGTAAGTGTCCTAACCCACCACTGTGCCTCCTGCATGGCCTGGCCTTCTTGCAGTCTGGCTTGGTCCTGGCTTCCACACTGTGCATGAGCCTCCTCCTTCAAGAAGTCTTCCCTGACTGCAGCCCTTCCAGCAGCCCTCCCTGACCCTTGCTTCTGAGGTCTGGAACTCGTAGCTCTAGACTGAGTCAGCCTGGGCTCTCTGCCTTTCCATCACCCCTGGGGTCCAGCCCAGCAGCTCATATTCAGTAGGTGCCCCACCAAGTTGGTTACACTTAAACCCAAGGACAGATACTGTTTCCTCATTTAGCCAAGCACTGGGTGCCACTCCTGAAGGTCAGAACCTCGAGCACCCCGTTTCTGGTGGCCACAGTATTTCTACCACCTTCCCAAACTCATTCAACTCCACTCACTTCCGCTCCTCTTCCGTCTGCCTGGGTCCTGCACCCTCCACTCCTCCCTCCTTTGCTCCCCCTACCCATGTTGTTATTTTGCACTGTTATTTTGCCCTGCTTCCGAAGCATTGTCTGTCACAGAATCCATAGAATGCAGTTGTCAGATGCTCTGCGACCTCAGGGCTGAATCAGAAATACCGGTTAAACTGCTAAACTGCGGCTACAGATTATAACACACACTTGAATTCAGAGAAAGTACAATATGCAAAAACACACGACAGATTCAGATAAGCTGCTCCTCACCCAGAAACACTGGGAAACATAAAATCAGACACAGGGCGCAAGGGATACAGCTCAGCGGCACAGTGCCTGCCTGGCAAGCGTGAGGTCATGAGTCTGATTCATACATCATCATAGAAAACGTGTCTGTACATCAAAATATAAAGTCTTTTTCTTGTCACGAAACTTTTATTATACTTCTATTATACTATTTTGGAGCCTTGTTTTATTTTTTTAAAAATGTTTTTGCATTACTGGGGATTGAGCCCAGGGCTGTCATACTGAGCACATCCCTATCCCTTGTTTACTCCATTTATTTATCTGTTTATTTATGAGATAGGCTTTCATGAAGTTTTCAAGTTGCCCAGGGGTTTGCTTGAGCTTGCAATCCTCCTGCCTCAGCCTCCCAGGGTACTTGACAACAGGCATGCATCACCTGTCTGGCTGAGCCTGTTTCACTGTGTACACTTCCTTCTAAAATGTGAAGATAGTCCCTCACATTTCTAAAACATCATCATAAAATACATCTTTTAGGAGACTGGGAAAAGAATACACTTATAAGAAAGTGAATTAAAAATATCTGTTTAGAAATGTTTCCAGAATTGAAAAAATATATATATCTGTTAATAGACCAAATACAGTGACATTTTGATGACAGCATAGTGACCCTGACTTGGCACAGTGACCCTCTTTCCTGCTGAATGATCCTGAAGGGCACTGAGTGCTGGCCAAGCTGGCAAACATCCCATCAGGCTGGGCCCCCAGCTGGTCCTGTAACCAGGTCCCCAGGTATGCAGCAGGCCAGCCCCTCTGAGCCCAGCCCAAGGCCAGCATTGCAGCTGCCACAAAACGGCCTGGCAGCTTCCCCTCTGACCCCGAGCCTTCGTGAGCTCATCTGTTGTGCAGGTGGCTGTGGCAGCTCCCATGGGCATTGTGGGGACACAGCAGATCCTGACCATAGAGGGACTCACTGCCGGTCACACTGGCCCCGTTATCCATGAACCTCCTGGACTGGCCAGCCCACGGGAGCAGCAGGTCCCTCAGGGACCACACAGCCCTGCTGCTATTGTGCTGAGGGGACTGAGGCCAGGAGGATGCCAGTCCCCATCTGAGGTCGCTCAGCCAAGGAGGGCTGAGATCGAGGTGGCCCCTTGAAGCCCCCCAAGCCTGAGTGTGGGTTCCCTCACCTGACTGAGGACACAGCGTGGCATCACACACACTGAGGCCTGGGTTTCAGTGTGTTTCTTGTGGGATGGCACCAGATCCTCCCACCTAACACCCCTCCATTTTCTCCCCTGTAAAATGGGCCTGTGAGGTCACTGTGAAGCTAAATGACAGGCCTTGGGAGGTGCTCCATAAGTGACACCACTGCTGTCCCTGTACCCCTGATCTCTGCACCTTTCGCTTTGCCTCCTCAGCCATGGGACCTCCTGAGTCTCACTTGAACTGGGCACTGCTAGGCCGGTAGACTCCACCCACAAGGCTGGGAGGAGCCTTTGGATGCCAGCAGGATGAGCCCGAAAAGCAGGCTACAGCCACCCACCCTCTCGAATCATCTGCACTCACCTGTCTCTTCCCTGAAGGAGCAGGGCATGGCTGTGTCCCCAAAGCTGCTCTCTCACACCGGGAACCGCAGGTTGGGAGACTCGGACTCTGACCCTCGCTTGCTCTGTCTCCAGCTCACCATGGCCAAACGGCTACAGGCCCGAAGACTGGAGGGGATGGAGCACAACCCCTGGTGAGTGAAGGGCCAGGGTGGGGCGGGGGGAACTAGGTCTCCCTCCAGGCTTGGGCTGGTAGGGACGCTGGTGTCCAGGAGAGGGAAGCCCCAGGGCAGCAGCCTTGGTCTCCAGTCTCAGCCTTCCACCTGCTTGGCTGTGGCCCTGGGAGGGGAAACTGGTTCCCAGCCACCGGCTCTACTTGAAGATGCTTAAAAATCCCAGAAGGGCTGGGCACGCCTATAATCCCAGAACCTGCAGTGTGAGGCAAGAGAATTGTTGCAAATCTGAGACCAGCCTGGCCACAAAGTGAGCTCAAGGCCAGCCTAAACTGCATAGCAAGGCCCTGTCTCAAACCCCACCCCCCAAAAAATATCCCTGAAGGGCCAGTCGTGATGGCACATGCCAATAGCCACAGCACTCAGGAGGCTGAGGCAGGTAGTTCTCCATGAATCTTATGCCCGCTACATAAGCAAGTTCAAGGCAGCCTGCACTACACAGGGAGACCCTGTCTCAGAGAAACCGAACAAACAAATCCCTGAAGGGCTTGGGGAAGAAGGCAGTACTGAGTTATCACCAGAGCCTGTGGCCTGACCCTGTGCCTCCAGGCTCCAGGCATCTGTGGTCCAGCCATCTGCAGATCAAGACTGTATTTTAAAAGATCAAATCTGTACCCAACATGCACAGGCCGGCTTTTTTTCCTCGTCGTTATTTCGTAAACAGTCTTGACTCCCAGTGTGCTCAGTTATTATTAGCTGTAATCTAGAGATGATCTAAAGTATTGTGAAATGGGAAGAAGATTTCCAAATGGAAAAGAACTAGGGTGGAGGAGGGGGAAGGAAGGAAGGGAAAAGAAAAAATTGATGAGAAAAGAGGGAAAAAATGGAAACAAAATTTTGTAAACAATGGGGGGAAAGGTTGAAGAGAGGGGAGGAGGACGGGAAAAAGGAAGCAAAATATATCATGCACAGGTACAAATTCCCTGTAATGAACGTGATCATTATGTATATACCAATAAACTCAATAAAAATAAACACATAGATAAAGTACTATATGGGAAGCGAGGCGTGGTGGCCTTTAGTTCCAGCATTCAAGAAGCTGATGCAAAAGGGTCACCATGAGTTTAGGCTACACACAGTCTCACAACACAAAAATTTTAAATAATAAAAAGTGTGAGAGCTGTCGAAGATCCGGCTTAGTAGCAGAGCCCTTACCACTAAGTAAATGCCCGGCAAGTTTAGAGAAGACCTAACACCATTACTTCGCAAAATCTTTAATAAAATTGAAAGGGAAGCAATACTTCCAAATTCATTCCTGGAAGCAAGCATTACCCTGATACCAAAACCAGAGAAGGACCCAACTAAGAAAGAAAGTACAGTTCAGTCTCCCAGTGAAGATGGATGCAGACATCCTCAGTAAGATACGGGCAAACAGACTGCAGCAAATCATCAGGAAGATTGTATACCACGATCAAGTGGATTCACCCCAGGGATGCAAGGATGGTTCAACATATGCAAATCAATAAATGTAAAACGTCATGTTAACAGAGTCAAGGACAAAAACCGTATGTTCACCTCAATACATGCAGAAAAAAATTTTTACAAAGTCCATTCATGATAAAAACCCTACAGAAAATTGGAATTATCTCAATCTGATAAAAGACATCTATGACGAATTGACAGTCAACATCATACTAAATGGGAAAAAACCAAAAACTTTCTCTCTAAAATCAGGAACAAGACAAGGATGTCCACTGTCGCTTCTCTTATTCAGTATAGTCCTGGAAACTTTAGCTGGAGCAATTATACAACAGAAAAAAATCAAAGGAATAAAGATAGAAAAGGAAGAAGTTAAGCTATCATTATTTACAAATGACATGATACTCTACATAGAAGACCCCAAAAACTCCACTAAAAACTGGTGAGTTTAATAAGCAAATTCCAAAACATAGCTGGATACAAAGTCAACACTCAAATCAATAGCCTTCCTGTACACAAATAACAAACTCACTAAAAGAGAAATCAGGGAAACAACATTTTCACAATAGCATCCAAAAAAAGTGAAATAACTAGGAATCAATTTAACGAAGGATGTAAAAGACCTCTACATGGAAAACTACAGTACTCTGAAAAAGGAAATTGAAGAAGGTATTAGAAAATAGATATTTCATGACCTTGGGTAGGAAGAACCAAGATAGTGAAAATGACCATACTTCCAAAACTGTTACACAGATTCAGTATAACCCCAATCAAAGTTCCAATAGCATATCTCCAGAATTAGAGGAAACAATCCTAAAATTCATCTGCAACCAGAAGAAACCTAGAACAGAAAAGGCAAGGCAAGGAGTATCACAATCCCTGACTTGGAATATACTATAAAGCTACCATGATAAAAACAGTGTGGTAGTGGAAAAAAAAACCTCAAAGACCAGTGGAACAGATTAGAAGATGCAGAACCAACTCCAGACACACTAAGTAACCTTATCTTTGACAAAAGTGCTAAACACATTCATGGAAGAAAGATAACTCTTTAATAATGGTGCTGGAAAAACTGGCTCTGTGCATGCCGAAGCTTAAAGTTGGACCCATATCTTTCACTGTGCACTAAACTAAGTTTGAAATGGATCAAAGATCTAAATACTGAAATGGGAACAATAAATCTGCTGGAAGATAGAGTAGGAAAAACTCTTGTCGACGTTGGTGGAGGCAAAGACTTTATGAACAAAACCCTGAGTGCACAGGAACTATCACAAAGAATCAACAGTTGGGATCTCATCTTATTAAAAGCTTTTGCCCAGCAAGAGAAATCACCAGCAGAGTGGAGAGACAACCCACAACGTGGGAGAAAATGTTTGCCAGCTGTTCTCAGACAAAGGAGTACTGCTGGGTTTCTGCAAGCAAAGGGGGAAATAAAGGGCCACATCCACTAAGGGTCAGCAAGATGGCTGTCGCCTGGCCAGCCAAAGCAGGCAGCTGTTATTGAGATAAAGAACAAAGAAACTCAAACTGCACATGCTCAGATTGGTAACTTGTTTACTTCCTGACCTTGCAGGACCTCATGTTTTTACCTTGGGGAGGGGATGATGTTTCAAGGCCCGCACTTTTCCCATAACATTGCTGACCCGATGTGTCTGGGACAAAATGGAGTCAGTGTGACCTCTCTACAGATCACTATCAGGAACATGTAAAGAACTCAAACAAACAGTCCTCCCAGATTTAAAGACCCAATCCAAAAATGGGCAGCTGAGATGAATACACCGTTCTCAGATGAAGAAATACAAACAGCAGATAAATATATGAAAAAATACTCAACATCACTGGTGCAAATTAAAACAACACTGTTTCCACCTCCCCCCAGAAAGAATGGTTACTATCAAGAAATCAACCAATAACAAGTGCTGGAGGCGCTGTGGGGAAAGAAACCCTTCTCCACTGTTGATGAGAGTGCAGACTGGTGCAACCACTGTGGAAATCAGTGTGGAGATTCAAAGAACTAGGACTACAGGTCACATTTGACCCAGCTCTTCCCCTCTGGGTACCTTCCCAGAAGAATTGAAAACACCATACCACAGCGATATATGTGCACCCATGTTTATAGCAGCACAGTTTGTAATAGTCAGATCTTGGAAATAACCCAAATGCCCATCCACTGAGGATAAAAATATGTGATACTTTTATACAGTGGCGTACTACTCACCATAAAGGATAAACTTTTAAAAAAAGGATAAACTTGAGACTTTTATAGGAAAATGGATGCAACTTGAGACCATACTCATAAATGAAATAAATCAGACACGTGTAAACATCATATTGTGTTGCTAATGTAAGAAGCTAATAGAAACTATAAATATAAAACAGTTATGCTACTGATTTCTCTGATTGAAGAGAAAGATTTGTGCTAGTATTATTCAGATGATTAAATGGAGATGTACTCTGAGTAACTGATTTGAAGATAACAATACACAATGCATACACCATAGTTACCCTCTAATTATCACGTTTTGAAATTTGTTTTTTTCCTCTCTTTAAAATAAAATAAAATATATTTTTAAAAAACTTATCATTTTGTAGGCACAGTGGAACATGCCTATAGTCCCAGCATTTGGGAGGCTGAGGCAGGAAAATTGCCATGAGTTTGTAGCCAACCTGAGCTACATAGTGAGTTCAATGTCTACCTGAACAATATAGCAAGACCCTATCTCCAAAGATATTTTTAAAAAACTATCATTTGGCTGGTGGTCTCATGTGAGTTTGACATATACTTCTCACAAGTAGCTGGGCCACAAGAATAAGGCAGATATGTGAGTCTAGAAAAAGATTATCACCATCAACAATCCCAGTTTTCTATCTAAGAAGACCTGTACACCCAGAAGGCAGGAACACATTTAGTACACCAGGAGGTTAGCAATAATGAGTGTCATAGCCATATGGGAACCTTTGTCCCTTAATGCAGTTTTTTCTTTTCTTTTCTTTTCTTTTTTTTTTTTTTTTTTTTTTTTGTCTTTTTCGCTTTTATTGGTGCTAGGGATCGAACTCACAACCGCATACTTGCAAGGCAAGCGCTTATGCTGCTGAGCTAAATCCCCAGCCCCTCCTTAATTCAGTTTTGTACCAAGAGCATCTTCTGTTTGCTTCTTCTCGTCTTTTTTTTTTTTTTTTTTTTTTTTGGTCTTTCTGAGACAAGGTCTTGCTAGGCAATTCAGGCTGGCCTTGAGCTCACTTTGTAGCCCAGGCTAGTCTTGAACTCACAATGATCCTCCTGCCTCAGCCTCCTGAGTGCCAGGAATACAGGCTTGTACCACCATGCCTGGCTACAAGCATCTTTTAATGAAACCTTGTTGTTTTACCTAGAGAAAGCTTAATTTTGATAATAACCAGTTTAAATGTATTACAATAATAATATGGTTAGCAATACTTATTGGGGTGTGTTTCCCATGAGGCTGTGGTCCCATTAATGAACTAAAACTGGAATAAAAATGTTTCCAGGCAACTGCAAGGGGAGTCCTGTCCAGCAGCTCACT